ATTAAAATTAGTTCTATATGTTAAATAAAAANAAAAAAGGAAAAAAGAAATTACAAAATGAATAATTATTTTGCAAAAAGAGACAAAATTTTGCAAAATTATTCATTACTCTTTCTTGTATGGAAGTAATTTTTTGATGACAATTGATGACCTGAAATAAAAATTGAACTTATGCGTTTTTGTCGTTAAAATTTGCATTTTTTTTTTCCTTTTAAAGCTGCATATCTTGAAGATGAAAACGAGAGGTAAAATGTTGAAGATGAAGTAATTTGAATGGAATACTGCAAAGGCGAAAGATGAAATATTACGAATTATCTGTCTGATCGAAATGACTGAAATAGTCAAAATGGCTAAGAATTGAAATCAATGGTAGTCAAGGTTATCTACTTAAAAAAAAAAAAAAAAAATGAAAAAAGAAGTTGGAAAGAAAAGTGAAAAATGGAGGTCATGGATAATAATGGTTTTTCATATACATTTTTATTCATAAATTTATGAAAAATTAATTAAAAAGTATTCAATTTATCTAAATTTTTTCTTCCGTTACTTCATATTAATTCCATTTAAAATATTTAGGAATAAAAATTGTTGTAAAATCAAAATTGTATTTTATTTTATTTCTTTATTTATCAAATTTTAGCTTAATCACTACTTTGTAAACTTTTCACTACTTTTGCATTAATTTATTTGAAATTGTCCAACAGTAAAATGCATTTCGCTTTCTTTGTAATTTATTAAAGTTTAATTCAATTACTATATTCGAATTATTTAACCTTCCACTTTTTTTCCTTTTTGCTTTAATCAATTCTTCCATTGCTTGATATTATTAGAAATAAAATATATTGCTTTTTTTATTACTTACAATGTTCCATAATTCTAAACAAATTTTAATATTTAATTTTTCCAGTAATCGATATTGCTAATTCCTTTTGTAAAAATAAATATAAAAAAATTTGATAAACCTAAAAACGTAATCTAATGATAGATATTTTCAGCAGTATGGAAATCCAAAATATACCATAGTATTTGAGAATCGTTTCTTGAATTTCATTATTATATCATATATCATTGATTACATTAAATCATTAATGACATTTTATTATCATTAATATTTTGATCGATGACCTTTTTAGGATGAAAGAAGAAATGATTTATATTTTTAACAAGTATAGAAATATATTGTTTTATGCTATTATTATATTAAAATATTACTTATAATAAATATAAGTATTTATACGATATTTGTTATATTATTAAAATTATTGATTGTAAGTTTCACTGATAACTTCTCATATTGATATGGCATATGATAATATTTGTTTATGCTGATGATTCATTTTTTAATAAAAAAACGAAAAATAGGTCAGTCGAATATTTTGTTTTAAAAAAAAATTATTAAACTTTTATTTAGTTTTTTTTAAATAATATTTCTGCCAAATACTATTTTTGGTAATTAAGTAATCTTTATTAAAAAACAAATACAATTGCAATTTGTTCTCCACTAAGTTTTACTTTTTTCTCCCAATTTTATTTCTTGTTATCATATATCTTGGCAATTTTTTTCCCATTTTTTATTCATGTTTGATAATATTTTTGAAAATTTTAAATTTAACAAGTCGTATAACGTTATTATTATCAAATTACATTACTCCAAGTTAGATATTTCAATCATAATTTAAATATAATAATTAGGCATTCCTTTTTAAATTAAGCCAAAAACATATTATTTTAAATTGAATATTTGAATTTTTATGCCACAGTCTATTAATTATTAATTGTATTATGGTGACAAAGATAAAATATATCGTTTCTTGAATTATTCAAGTATTATCACCAATTGATAATTTATTATTGTTTGGACAATTTTTCGTTTTGGATTACGATAACAATATATTGCTTCAAATAAGATATATGAATTTTTATATTAACATTTTATTGCATATTGTATTGGATATTATTTATCAATGAACTTTATGCTAATTCGATAAATGATTAAATATTAAGTATCCTATTTCATGTAATATAAGTCATTAAAAGAGTAAATGACACTTTCTAACAGTTGATCAAAATAGTCATAATTTAAGTATGCAAATTAATCCTAATCATTTGTTCATTGTTAAATAATCTATGGATAATGATGAAAGTGTCAGATGGCTATATAATGCGCATATATATATTTAGGTCAAATCATCCTGGTTGATGACTCATTCATTAGTTATTACTTGATTATTTGTGAACTTGAAAAGACGAATCATGGATAAGAGATACTTGACCTTGAAAAGAATTGCATGATGAAAAGTATCACTTCTTTCTTTAGTTATCCTCTCTTCACCCTGATCCGCCTCTTTCCTTCTTTTTCATCTAATCTTTTACCAATTCCTTCCTAACCAGATCAATCTTATTCTTCATTTTCAATTTTCTACTCCTTCCTCAATTCATCACAAACCTCATTTCCTCCTCCCATTTAACATTCCCACTATTTCTAACTTAGTCCATTTCATTCATCTGTCACCCTTTCTTGTCCCGCTTTTTACCTTCATCCGACAAATCATTTGCTTAATTGTCACAATCGTTGTACCGTCGCCAAAAAGACACTTACAATCATCATCATTATCATCACCATCATTATCATCACCATCATCATCATCATCATCATTTTTTCATAATTGTTCATAAAACTATCACTTTTTGGTTCATCAATTGAATTTTTCCATTCAAGAAATTTTTAAGCTATGCTCTTCTGTTTAAGTATTCTTATAACACTACCAATAAGCTGCTTTACTATTGCTTACATCGAAAATTCCATCTTAGGTAATAATTTTTACCTTTTTTTTCAAATTTTACTTTAAAATTATTAATGTAACTTTTAGCAAATGATAATTATCAAAGTAATTTGCTCTTATCAACGATAAAACATATGGTAATTGTTTTTTTTAATAGATGATATTTTGTCAGATTTTATCAAAAAAATCACAGATGTTCAAGTTTTTATCAACAACTGTTAGTATCTTATCAAAAAAAAAATTAGTTGTTTAAACTTTCTGATAAATTCATCATATCTGGTCATTACTATCTTATGCAATGATTACTAATTAATTTAATTGATCAATTTTTAAATCCTAAGAAATCAGAAAAACAAAAATTACATACCCATATGATTTTATTTTTTATTTTGATATAAGTTGGTACACAAACAAAATGTTTTAATTACTTATCAAGTATTCCTATCAAGGGTAATAACACTGCGAATCAATTAATTCAGTGTTAGGTCATAATTAAAACAAGTTATTCATATTTTTAGAATTTTATAATTAAAATTGGTAAAGAATTCATTAATACTTCATTTGGTTTTATCTACAAAATAATGAGTTGAGTAATTTAATAGGAATGAATATAAATTGAAATTTGAATGAAAAAAATTGAAAAGATTAATCAAAATTTGCGCCCAAAAAAATTTTTAAAATTAACATTTAACATTTAAAATTGAAAGCTCTTTAAAAAAAAAAAATAACAAATTCAGAATTGAAATTACCCGTGGAGGATATGACGAATGTATTTAAATTAGTACAAATACATCGTAGATTTCATTTCCTCTAGTCATTGCAAAGAAAATAGCTGTTCAATTTTTAAAAAAATTTGCGTTTGAAATTTAATTTTTCAAACTTTCATTTTATTAGTTCCAATTTATTTCGTAAAAGAAAGGAAAAATTATTGAAAAGGTCAAATAATTAATCATTCCATTTGATCAAAAGAGACAAATGAGAGAATTTATTGTTTTTATTAGTAAATCAAATTTCATTTCGACAAAATGATTTTATGGAAGCCAAAAGAAAAAAGTAATACGGATGGATTGCTATTTTAACCTTGAACTAAAATTTAAAATTCGAAAAAAAAATGAAAAAAAAGAAAAGACTGTGGAAAAAAAAATTGATTTCGATAGTTATTATTATACATATATTATATTGTATATGCTCTAGATAATTAAATTTAGGTTGTAATTTGTACAAAAAAAAAAGAAGTTTATGTTATAAATCCAATTGTATTATAAAATTTTTTAAATAATTTTATAAATTTTTACCAAAAAAAAAGACGAAAATTTTCATGCACTAATTAGCAATATCAAGTACAACTTATGAATTACTGATGCATTATAAACTTAATGATGTTAATTTCATTCACTTTTACACTGAATGATACAAAGATTAAGTTGATAATGGAATTAATTAATAATTGGAAATGATTGATTTAGAAAATGTGACAAAATGCACAAATTGAATTTAATAATTGATTGCATCAAAAAAAAAGAGAAGAAAAGTAAACGGTGGAGAAAAAAAATTTTTTTTAAAATAAATTTTTATTATTAATAATTCACTTATTTAATGATTGCATTTCCAATTTACAGATACAAAATGTTAACAAAATTTACATATTACGATAAATTTCCATTCCAATCATGCATTTTATATTTATATGAATAAAAGGAAGTGAACATTTTGATATGCAATGGAAAGTCATCAAAGTGAACAATTTTGTTGTATTGATAATTGCTATACCATTAAAATAGGTTGCTATTGTTGGTGAAAAGATTTATTATGATTAATTTATTATTGTTAAATGGCAAGGTTATGGGAAATTATTGATAACAAATGGGATTTTGACGGGTTTTATTTGTTATAAATTTTCATCTTATAACCTTTATAAATATTTCTTAATCATTTCGAAGTATTATTAAATACTGTTACTAAATAAAAAATAAAAAAATAAAAAAATAAAAAATAAAAAATAAAAAATTGAAATTTAAAAAAGAAATAAAAATAAAAAAATGAGTAAATAAGAAATCTAGAAAAAAATAAAAAATCAAAAAATTTCATTTCTCTTTTCTTTTGTCTTTTTAAGAAAAGTTTGATCTAGAAATAAAAAATTAGTTTTTTTTTTTTGGAAAAAATAAATTAACATTCGAAAAAAATTGAAAGTTTGATTAATTTCATTTTTTCAATTGATAGATATAACATTAGTCGATAGCAATTGCTGAAAATAATAATTGAATGGTAAAATAGAGGAAAAAGCAAAAAAATTGAACGAAATTTTTAGCTTTTTATTTGTTGATAAATTTATTTATTTATTTAGGTTTTTAATAGTTAAAATAAAAATTGCTTTATGCAGAAAAAAGAAAGCGTTGTCT